TGTGTGTCTCTTATAGTGGGCGGGCCATGCACATGGGGAGAGAGGTTCCTGTTTAAATCTCTCCCTCTCTCTGCCCAGGCTGTGCCCACAGGGACAAGCCACAGCCCCTGAGTCTGGGGAGTGACCAGCCCCCAGGAGAAGGAGGCAACTGAGAGAGAGGGGAGGAAAGGAGGTGGCCAGAGCCCCTCCCAGCATGCTGGGACTGCATAGGGTCTGCATCTGCAGGTCTGTCCTCCCACCAGGATGGACTCCTTGCAGGCTGCTCAGCCTGTTTCTTGTTCTGGCCTCCCTGACCAGAGCAAAGGGCTGAAGAAAAACAGGTCACCTTGCCAAAAGCCTGCAGTGCCCAGTGAAATGAAATGGGTTATCGGGAGAACAGCACTGCCACAGGGGAATTAGTTCAAGCGTCAGAGCCCTTGCTCTGCATGTGAGACAATGGGATCAATACCCATGTTCTCCAGTAGCTGGGGTGTCCTCCTTCCTTCTCACAGGCAGCCCCAGCCAGCCAGGGGACTAAGTTCCTGCAGTAACCCCCTCCCTCTTCCTACTTGCTCTCCTAAAAAGACAGACCTGGCTGCCCTTTCTCTTATTGCATCACTGCAAAGCAGCAAGAGATGATGACAAGCTATACAGCATGTAGGGCTCTATGGTGCAATGGAAAGTATGTCAGACTTCTAAACTATGGTGGTTAGTGTGAGCCAGGCCAGTCATTCAAAGGTTGTGGAATCAAATCCCACCAGAGTCATTTTACCTAGCAGCTCCTACAGAAGAGGTGCCCCCCCCACCCCTTGAATGGGGCCAGGACAGGGGAAGAAAGACATGGCTGGCTACCAGTAGCTACAATTCTCTGAGCAACAGGAACTTGAGCTTGCTCCCTCCCTCTCACAAACAAGCAAGTGAAAAGTGGGGTAAGAAAATGAAAGTCAAGCTGCCTTCTCGGGATACTCCTTTCCAGAAGAACAGTGGTGAAAAACACTGCTGCTCCCTTTCATGGATGTTCTTTTCTGCTACCTGTCTCTGTTCTCTGCCTTGCACCTTTCCCATCCCCTTGTCCTGCCTAGTTCTGGCTCATTCCAAGTTGTCTGGCTGCCTGTAGCATGGGCTGAGCTCAAGGGCCCTGTGGGTGACCTGCTCTACTGGCACCTCCCACCAGTCTGCTTAGTCACTCCCAGAGAGCTGAGTGATTGTGCCCTTGAGTGGCACTCTCTGCTACCCAATCAGCTTTGTGAGGAGAAGCATGGAGGAGGGGACAAAGGGCTGGTGTTGTGCCAACAGGAAAGCAGCCAGTGCCTCACCCCAAAGGAGATGGTTGGAGATTATGTGGAGCAAAACCAATATCTCTCACCCATGTAACAGGCACTTCTCCAGTTGACCAACTCTGCTCCCCTGGGGCCTGTCTTCAGTGCTCCTGCTGGGCCCAGCAGCTTTCTGCTCTGCCAAGGCTAGCTTTTGGGAGGAGCAAGTAGGAAAAGGGAGGGGCTACAAGAGGCCCTTAGTCCCCCTGGCTGGCTCTGCCTGTGAAGAGAGGAATGGGGATTCCCCATCTCTGGAGAACATGGGCATCAATCCCACCTGCCTCTCACATACTAAGCATGCACTCTGCCACTTGAGCTAATTCCCTTGCCTGGAAACAACTCTCCTGACCCACCCACCTTTTTCCAGAGCCTACAACATCCCTGCAGCTGCCCAAAGCTACTTTCTGAAAGGGTCATTGCTTGTAAGAACAGGCTTTGTTGGCCAAGTAGTTCAGCATGTTACTGTGTGGTGCCAGTAACACCCAGAGGTGGAAAGTAACTAAGTAGAAATACTTCAGAGGGGTAGCTGAGTTAGTCTATAACTGGAAAAACTTACAAAACAACGAATAGCCTAACAGCACTTTAAAGACTAACAAAACATGAGCTTTCATGGGAACAACCCATTTCTTCAGATGAAATACTTCGTTACACTACTCGAGTACATTTTTTCAGTATTTGTACTTGTAGGGTAAACTGAGGCAGCCCTAAATGTGCTAATAGGCCTCTAAACAGCATAACTTCTGTGTTTTTTTTAAGAAAATATTGTACTCCACTACAATTTCTGGAAGCACTTACAAAATACAGGACTATGTAGCACTTTAAAGACTAACAAGATGGTTTATTAGATGATGAGCTTTCGTGGGCCAGACCCACTTCCTCAGATCAAATAGTGAAAGAAAATAGTCACAGCCATATATACCAAAGGATACAATTAAAAAAATGAACACATATGTTCTGAAATTTGATTTGTCCTTTTCATATGTGTTCATTTTTTAAATTGTATCCTTTGGTATATATGGTTGTGACTATTTTCTTCCACTATTTGATCTGAGGAAGTGGGTCTGGCCCACGAAAGCTCATCATCTAATAAACCATCTTGTTAGTCTTTAAAGTGCTATATAGTCCTGTATTTTGTTGTTCAGCTATACCAGACGAACACTGCTACATTTCTATTACTATGGAAGCACTTAGTTACTCACTACAGCCGGTCCCCAAGTTATGAATGGTCAATTTATGACCGTTCATACTTATGACCAGACCTCCCATTAAGTGGTCGTAAAGGTGGTCCCCACGTTAAAAATGCAATCCGCACTTACGAACAGCATGCTTGCATGTAAATGAATGGGGTCCGACTTACAAACACTTTGAGTTACGACATAGGCCATGTCTACACTGGTGCGATCTTGTGCCAGAGCTATGCAAATGAAGCTAAGCATGGAATATCACATTTGCATATATAATGAATTGCCATTTTTGTGGAAGAGGCTCTTGCGCAAGAAGGACCTGTCTACACTGCCCCTTCTTGCGCAAGAAAAACCCTCTTGCGCAATCCGCTACACTGATTATTTTCAGGGATAATGAGAGGGTTTTTCTTGCGCAAGAAGGGGCCATGTAGACAGCTCCTTCTTGCACAAGAGCCTCTTCTGCAAAAATGGCCGCTCATTATATATGCAAATGAGGCCCAGCGATATTCCACACTTAGCCTCATTTGCATAGCTCTGGTGCAACATCATGCCAGTATAGACATAGCCCAAGTGTTTGGTCTGTAACTTGTTCATAAGTACTTTCATCACCCCACTGACACATGTGCAAACCAGCATTCTGATTTGTAAAAACACAGCCATATGTACATGGGTGGCTAAGTACCAAGTTTGAACCCCTGGATTTCATATTTGATGTCTGCTTAAAGCTGCATGCCCTGGCTTCAAAAGTAGTTCTTAACCACAATAGAATGTGAACGCCTGTAGCTTTGCCTTTGGGGCAGGGAATTTGTTATAAAAAAAGGGAGGCAGGTGATTAAGAATTACAAAAGACTGGTCATTCATGTAATTAAGGGAGCCTTAGATCATCATGAAAACATTGCCATGTACTTAAAAGCTGGGAGAGGGGGAGGAATAGCAATGAGTGTTGTGCTGCTGGGATTTGCATTTAGACCAGTACTGTTAAACATGTAAATATTCTTGAAAAGGGGGTAAATAGTGAGATGGCAAAATCTGCAGATACTACGAAATTACTCAAAATAGTTAAGTTCAAAGCTGACTGTAAAGAGTTACCAAGGGATCTCACAAAACTAGGTAACTGGGCAACACAACAGCAAATTGCACTTATTAATACTAAGTATTGCACATGGAAAAGTATAATCCCAACTATTCACGCAAAAATGATGTGGGGGCAGGAGAAGCCCTTAGAGGGGTCACATGACCCACTTCTGGGGATGGGTGAACCGTTCCCAGAACTGCCCGTGACTGGTCAAATCAGCTCTTGGGGTGGTTTAATGAGGGAGAAAACCTTCCTGATTGGTAGAGGGTGGTGGGGAGAAGTTCTTAGAGGGGGAGAGGTGTCACATGACACTAATTCCAGTCACATGTCCCTCTTGACCCCAGATGTACTACCCCTGGGGGTTGGCCTTCAGGTTACAGATAGGCAGGGCCTAAGGGATCGGGGGCAGGGCCAATGTTTGATTGATGGTAGATCCCTTATACTACTTGTATTGTTGGATTGGACTCCATTGTATGACAAAATGTGTATTTCTACTACACAATCATTTCACACATGGGAAAAAGGATATAATTGTCCATACAAAAGGTATCAATCTATTTCCTAATACAAAGCTTCTATTAATACAAACATTTAATCATTCATCATATTTTCTTTATAACACAATCTATATTCTAATTACTCTTAAGAGCAACAGTGTGATCATGCTGAATTACAAGAATCCTTCTGATATCTTTCTGTTTTGACATCGTATACAATCACAAACACTTTGCCTGATACATCTTTATTAAGAGGATAGAAGACTGTTCTTCTGTGCTAGTCAGAGAAGAGTGGCCACCAGAGTTAGGATTGTTTAACATTTATTCTTACACTATCCATTAAGAACATTACATAAAACAATATATAACTCTGTGGTCTACACGAAGAACCGTGGTATGGACCCTTCTCCTACCCAGGAAATGGGGACTGCTTGAGGCTCCTTCCCAGAGAAGTGTAGGGCTCACTGTTGCTCCCCAGAGCAGCGCACCTGGCTGCTGCCATGTGCAACTCTGAGTCACCCTCTCAACCAGAGAAGGGTATGGGAGAACCACATAGGCTTCTGTGGGGATCTGCCCCCATGCAACCTGCCTGGGTCTGGGGCAGAGCCCTGCAACTCTGCATATATCTCCGGAGATCCCCAAAGTTTTGCTGCTGCAGACACACTTTTCTGTATATGCACAGAGCTCTAGCCGGTTACCTCCACAAACCATCCTCCTGGCCCCTTAGCATTTGATCTTGCAGATCCCAGCATCTCTGTCTGATTTGGGGAGGGGAGGATTTAGCAGCCTTTCAGCACCAACTGCTTCTAGGAAACAGCTCTAAGAAAGTGGGGGAGGTCAGCCAAGGGGTGATGGAAGAGGAGCAGTGGGGATGGGTGGCTAGATGGAAAGTAGGGCCTGGTCCAAATGTCTCTCTCAATGTCCATGGCAGGGGATCCCAGCTGGGATAGGGCTGGAAGAGTTTGTTTCTTCCTTCTTCCCCCTGTGGCCCATCAGGTCAGCAATCAGGGCTGCAGCCAGCAGGACAGTTGATTGGGGTTTGCTGAGACCAAGTAGAGCCCACAATTATTGACCCAACAATCACGGACGAGTTGATTGTTCGGTGCTGTGGTCTCCTCACCCCAGTACTGGACATCTGGATCCCAAGGAGCCAAATGTCACTCATCTGTGTGTGGGGTCAGCCAGGGCATGGAGAGAATTTCCCTCAGCTGTGGAGCGGTCTCTAGTGACCAGGCTTTTAGCCAGTTTCATTAGCTAGTATGTATAACACTTCTGAGAGTATTCTTTCCGGAAGGATTTGCTGATGGAGGATCTGTGTGGATTCTCTCATGTCTAGTAAGAGTTGAGGTTTGCCTGAAGCTCTTCCCACAATCAAGGCATTTATATGGTCTCTCTCCTGTGTGGGTTCTCTCATGGGCAGTAAGGACTGATCGCTCAGTGAAACCTTTCCCACATTCATTGCATTTATACGGTCGCTCTCCTGTGTGCAACCTCTGATGGATAATAAGGTGTGAACTCTGACTGAAACTTTTTCCACAGTCAAGGCATTTATATGGTCTCTCTCCTGTGTGGGTTCTCTCATGTCTAATAAGGACTGATCGCCTACTGAAACATTTCCCACACTCATGGCATTTATATGGTCTCTCTCCCGTGTGGGTTCTCTCATGGACAGTAAGGTCTGATCGCATAGTGAAACTTTTCCCACACTCATAACATTTATATGGTCTCTCTCCTGTGTGGATTCCCTCATGTCTAATGAGAGCTGATCGGCAAGTAAAACCTTTCCCACATTCATGGCATTTATATGGTCTCTCTCCCATGTGGATTCTCTCATGAACAGTAAGGACTGATCGTTTGGCAAAATCTTTCCCACATTCATGGCATTTATAGGGTCTCTCTCCTGTGTGCATTCTATGATGGATAATAAGGTGTGCACTCCGACTGAAACTTTTCCCACAGTTGAAGCACTTATATGGTTTCTCTCCTGAGTGGGTTTTTTGATGTCTACTAAGGTATGATAGCAAGGTGAAGCTTTTCCCACACTCAAAGCATTTATGGGATTTCTCTCCCATGTGGATAATCTCATGTTGAATATGGGATGACAGTTCAGTCAGACTTTTTCCACACACCAGGCACTTACTGAGTCTCTCTCCTGTGTGCCCTCTCTGGGGCAGAATAAGGCCTAACTTCTCACTGAATCTTTTCCCACAATCTGAGCATTCACAGGGTTTCTTTCCATTGTGATTTGTCTCCTGGCCTGGAGTTTCCTTGGTGTCCTTCGATCCTTCCCTGCATTCAATGGATTCCTCCGCTTTCCTGCTTGGATTGTTCTCCAGCTGCTTCTCTGCCCTGTGTCGTTTCCCCCAGGTTTTCCCCTGTTCTACATACGGGGAAAAATACCCTTCAACTCCTTCCAAAGAGATTCCTTGTAATTCATCGGTTCCAGGACCTTCCTGCAATCCATTATCTTCCTTGTTCTCTCTCATTGCCCTACCACCTGCTGGGAGAGGGAGAATACAGGCAGGAGTTACTGTCTGTGCTGAGGAGAAAGGACCAACAGGGGAATGGCAGAGACAGAAAGCATAGCATGGTAATAGTTGGGGAGACGGAGACATTGGTTTCAGCCTCCATCCCCCACCCAAACACTCCCAGGAAAGGAAACGCAGGAAGGAAACCTGTGACAGCTAACAGGATGGCTAGGGAATTGTGACAGATATTTGCCAGGATGATACCTGCAGCCCTATCTGGGGAACATGGGGCGGAAGTGAGGGCTCTCACTCACTGTTCATTTTTGGGAGTCTAAGCATTTCCCCCACACTTGTTGGAAGGTTTCTTTGTCAGTTTCCCTGACTCCTCACCTGTGCGGGTACCTCTCTGAATCTCCATTTCTTTGGAGGGCTGGAGATCTGGGACCCACGGCTCTTCCTCTCGTTCCAGCCGGGCAATCAGGTCAGGTTTGGGAATGGAGAATCCTGCACAGGGGTGAAATCAGGCAAGGTGAAGATGCATGAAGTCTAGGCAGAGTATGTGTCACAAGGAACATTCCCTGAGCTCAAACTGATCCTGTATAGGACTATGGTAACTAGATATCTTGAGAGCGGCAGAATTCTGGGGTGGAACGAGGTGTGGGACGTGATGAAGTCAGGATTGTATTTGCTCTGTTCACTTTATGCTGAATGTGATTTCTACTGTCCTTTAGTGATCCTGGGTGTGTGCCTCAGTTTCCCTGGGCACTGCACCACTATCTAGATGAAGATGGGAATTTGGGGATGACTCACTGAGGGAGGATGCGCAGACTAGCACATTGCCATGAGCCTGGGCCATTGTAAATCTGAGCCTGGGAGGGGTGTGTGACCCGGTGACACCTTTTGCCTGGGAAGCTAGGCAAAGGCTTGAGATGGGACTGGCTATAGCCAGGGATGAACTGTGGAGGGTCGAAGTAAGTCTTGCGGGTTTGGGGGCCGAGATGGGGGCCCTTGGCCCCCTTCTTCCCAAGATGGATTATGCTGATTGCTCCTGGTTTCTGTGCTAGCAAGTTTGTTCTATGCAGCATCCCTGTGAACTCATAAACCTTCTGTTCTATCTGCCGGCTGAAAGTCATGTCTGGCTGCAGATGGGGGTGCAGGGCCCGGTGATTCCCCACCCCTTGGTGACAAAGGTTATCATGCCCTCACTAGGGGTTTTAATGATCTGTGGGATCTGGGGGACTTGCCAACACACACACACAGCGCTCTGAGGTTATACTCCTCTCTATTTCCAAGCCTGTGTAACCTAGAAAAGCGACGAGGAGTCCTGTGGCACCTTATAGACTAACTGAAGTGTAGGAACATAAGCTTTCGTGGGCAAAGACCCACTTCGTCAGATGCATGCTCCTACACTTCAGTTAGTCTATAAGGTGCCACAGGACTCCTCGTTGCTTTTGCAGATTCAGACTAACACGGCTACCCCTCTGATATGTGTAACCTAGAACCCTCCCCACAGATGGAGTTAGTCTCAAGAAGGCAGGTGAGTAAGATAAATAATATAGGCAGGACAGTACCCTGCTTCTGGCCCCTGAAAGCTGGAGAGATGGGGGTGAATTAGCATGTCCCTTAGGTGTCTGACTCCCCTGTTCCCCAGAAGGGGGCATGGTGATTAAAGTATCTCTCGCACGGGGGCTGTAGATTGTGTGATTCACTCCCCTCTAATCTAAGTGACGATGGCGTTGAGGGGACAGGAATCTTTACCCAGTGAGACCACAGTCTCGTAGTTCTCCTGCATGACGTCCCTGTAGAGGGCTCTCTGAGCGGGGCCCAGCAGCGCCCCCTGCCCTGCGGTGAAATACACAGCCACCTCCTCGAAGGTCACCGGCATCTGAAACAATAGGGGCCCCCACTTAGCGTCTGCCGCCCCAGCCACAACTTCAGTACTCACAATGGAGGAGGCCCAGGGAGCAGAATTACTTCCTCCCCTCCCCACGCTCAGAGAGGCCAGGAGGCTTGAAGGAAGAGAGAGAGGGGAGAGCTTCTTGTGCCGCCCAGCAGATGGAGCAGGGCAAGATCTTCTAATTCACCACACAACTGCTAGCCACAGGCTGAGGTGGGAGCAGAGCTCTGCAGAGGCAACAGGGACAGGAATCCCAGCAGCTTCCTATTTCATGTGGCCAGTGGCTAGTGAGCTCTGTTCCCAGCATGAGAAAACTATAGGAATGGCCAGGCTGGGTCAGATGAAAGGTCCATCTATCTCAGTGTTCTGCCTTCCAACAGCAGCCAATGCAGGTGCCCCAGAGGGAATGAAGAGAACAGGGAATCACCAAGTTCTCCACCCCCTATCACTCATTTTCAGCTTCTGGCAAACAAAGGCTTAGGACACCCAGGGCTGGCTCTAGGCACCAGCAAAGCAAGCACGTGCTTGGGATGGCACATTTCCAGGGGCGGCATTCTGGCCATACTTGCGTGTACTTGTGTGTACTGTGCCACCCCCATTCTGCCCCCCATCCACAGTCACCTGCCAGCAGCAGCCCCTTCCACCTGCCCCCCCACATGGGGGGGTCCCAGCACCCAGGCAGGTGCCCCATAGCTCCACCCCTCCACGGGCAGCACTGCCTGAGTCTTTCCTGCGGGGCTGGGACCTGCGTGTGCCCCACTGCACGTGCTGATTGGCCAGCCGGCGCCACGTCACAGACCCGGCAGGGCCCTGCGGGGGAGAATAGGAGGGGGAGGGGCACAAGGCCCTGCCAGGGGTCGTGGTACACATCCATCGGGAGGGGGTGGCCGGGGAGCCCCAGCCCCTCCCTTTCCATGTGCCCTCCCCATGCAGGGGGGTCCCAGCACCCAGGCAGGTGCCCCATAGCCCCGCCCCTCCACGGGCAACGCTGCCCAAGTCTTTTTCCTGCAGGGCTGGGACCTGCACGTGCTCTGCTGCACGCGCTGATTGACCAGCCAGCACCACATCACAGACCCAGCAGGGCCCTGTGGGGGAAATAGGAGAGGCAGGGGTGCGGGGCCCTGCAGGGGGTCATGGTGCGTGGGCATCCATCCGTAAGAGGTGGCCAGGGAGCCCCAGCCCCTCCGCCCCTCCCCACCTGGTCACCATGCTTGGCCGCGCAGGGCAGCAGCATCTCCCCGGCTCCCAAAGGGGAAACTGAGGCAGCAGGGAAGCAACTTGCTCCAGGCCGGCCGTGGCAGGGCCGGGGACAGAACCCAGGCGTCTGGGCTCCAGCCTGGCACTCGGTCATTTGGGGCCGGTCCTGGTCTCAGGCGAGCTCTTATCCCCATGCCGGGCTGTGCTGGGCCAGATCCTGTGGTCTGGGTCAAGTGCGTTGAGTAGAACGCCCCCTCCCTCTGTGCCAGGATGCCTAAGCCATGGCCGGAGCTGGCCCTGCTCCAGGTCACGACTTCAAACTCAAGTTCCTCTAATTCGGAGTTTACACTGCAGTGTAGACATAGCCCAAAAAAGTATCTTGTAGAATGTATGAGGAGCCCTTTGGGCCTCGTCTTTACTAGGAAATAAAGATATGCTCGTAACTCATCTTAGCTAACTCTAAGTAAAATCCTAGTGAAGACTGGGTGGTTTGTATTTTTGACACAAGTGAGCAGGTTGAGAGTTCAGTTTTCACACAAGCCAATCTGCCTTATCTTTACTAGGATTTTACCTCAAATTGAGAACATACGTTTTTGGAGAATGTTCACGCCCCTCCCAACGGGCCTGTTCAGACAATCACCTCAATTGTCTAGGCTGAGCAAGTCCCAGCAGGTTTATCCCACCCTTTATATTTCCTGCCCCTCCCCCTCCACAATAACACCCCCTGCAGCTCCCCACAAAATCCCCTACCTGAGCAGGCTCCACCACAGCCATTTCCCTGCCCTGCCTCCTGCAAGATGGGATGATCTGGAGCAAAGTGGGTACGTGAGTCTTCAGCCTGTCAGGGTGAGAGGGGTGATTGGGGAGGTCTCCAAAGAGGGTTTGGTCCATTTCACACCCCAGTTCCCCCAGACTCTCTCCCTACAGACAGACGCACTAGGCTTTGCCATTCTAGGAAACCCTCAATTGTGTGGTTACAACACAGGCCTGGCCCCTCCTCCAGGGCTGAGCCCACCAGGCACTTTTACACTCTCCCCAGGACAGAGTCTCTGAGACAAACATCAGGAAAATGCAGAAGTGCCAAACGTGCCACTCGGGGGGATTCTCCCACATTGTCCCTGAGGGCACCAACCCCGCCCCAACCCCCGCCATCACATGGGGACTGGACGGCGCAAGAACTGGCTTTTCCTTCCCTGCTCCTTGCTCCCAGGACAGTCAGTCTGCTCAGGGTGAGGCAGTGAATTGGTCTAGGCAGGTTTGGGAGCTGGAAACCTCATTCCCTACTTCTTGCTGCCCCTTCTGATCTCCGCATTTTGCCCTCCTGTCTCCTGCTTTCTCCCCTCTGCTGGGAGCACTGGTGCCTGCCCAGTGCCCATAGGCATTTGGTCTCCAGTGGGAGCCTGGCTGTGTCACTGAGGGCAGTAACTCTGAGACCGGCAGATACACGTGGACCCCCTCCGCTCTGGCACAAACTCAGCTGGTTTGGCTGAGTAACTTTCCTGTCTCTCCCAAGCTTTGTCCCCCAATTCTCTACCCATCACCTGGAGTGGATACCAGCAGAGCCTGGGGCTGCCCCAACGGACAAGTAACAGGCACCGGGGAACATTCCCCGGGCATAGAGGGGCTTCAGTAAATGTCTCTCCCTGCTACAGACCCACTGCACAGTTGGGTTCCCAGATCACGATGTCGGTGACAGCAGCATCTGATCCAGGAAACTCAATCAGCTCTAGGGCTCTGTATCCTGAGCACAGGCAGACATCAGCCTCTTCTGCCTTTGCAGTAACCAGAGACTCTCTCCCCAGGGACAGCTCTGCAGATAACTGAACCAGACCCAGAGAACCAGGATTTTTAACTGACCAGGAACCAGACTTGGAAAAAAAACTATGGTTCTTTTCAGTCCCTCTGCCCTGGGACAATCTGCTTCTCTAGGACAAGAGGGTTTCAGCAAGTTTTAAGTTCAGTGTTTGATAAAACAGAAACAAACCTGCTCTGATCTCACTCTTACTGCAAAAAAGGCACCAAAGAACACACAGGCCTGTGAGTGCTATCAGTACAGCCTGCCCCAGCAGAAGGGAGAAGTAGCGATGTTAAATATCGGTTAATTGAATAGTCAGATAACCTCATGAATTCTTATCAGTCAAGTATTCTGTAGTCTACGGGGTTGGGGCCAGCAGCAGCATGGGGTGCCAGCTGGGAGCTAGTCTGTGAAGGGAGCCAGTTTAAAAGCCAGCTCCTCTTGCAGACCAACTGCTTGTTGCCCTGTGCTGCTGCCTCTGAAAAAGAAGGAGCAATGCAGGGTGGCAGCAGCCTAACTGCAGGGCGACATGGTCTGAGCACCAGACCCAGCACAAATCAGAACTGAGCTGGCTGCCTGCCTGCCCAGATCCTAATACACTATAAATGCAGCACCACAGTGGGGGCATAAGGTCCTGCACCTGCCAGAACTGAGCTAAGCTGCTGGCCAGCCTGTTAAATAATGAACTGATGGGCCCGGGGTTCGTAGCATTAACCTATAAGCTTTTGCTCATCAGTTAAGAGACCACACTGGTACATCCCTAGGGAGAAATCCCCAGGCACAGAGAGGGAGACGGGGCAGAGCAGCAAATGGTCCCCTGCTGCCAGAAGTTAACAACAGGTCAAGCCTCCAGCCTCCCACGCCTGCCAGCCTGTTAAATAATGAACTGATGGGCCCGGGGTTCGTAGCATTAACCTATAAGCTTTTGCTCATCAGTTAAGAGACCACACTGGTACATCCCTAGGGAGAAATCCCCAGGCACAGAGAGGGAGACGGGGCAGAGCAGCAAATGGTCCCCTGCTGCCAGAAGTTAACAACAGGTCAAGCCTCCAGCCTCCCACGCCTCA